GCCAGGAAGAGCTCGAAGAAGTGGCTGGGGAGAGGGAAGTCTGGGCTTCCCTCCTAAAGCTGATGCCCCCGCGACCCGGCCCCGGATGAGCGGCAGAAGATGGATGGATGAAATAATAAATATGGACGAAGACCCTCTGACATTTGATTTGCCTCTCACTCGGACTGTAAATAAAAAAGGTGATTTCCCCCGTCATACTGAAAACAAGCGGCCACGAGAGAACACATTTTACCTGTATTTTGAGCCGCGCAGCATCGGGCCTAAAGCTGCCAACGATGATCATTTTTAAGCGGCTGACGAAGAAATAATTTCATATATCTTTTCCCATTTATATGATTTGCATTATTCTATTTAAAGCCTAGTGTGCTGCAGTGTTTCTCCTCGTAATTACGCAAATGCGCATCAAGATCTCTCTTTCTCTGGCCTCTGATTATGTGTTTCAGCGTAATTTCGTTGTGCAAATGCATTTATCATGCTCATAAAAATATGGAGATTATTTTAACCTTAAGAAATGTTGCGTTTTTTTTCTGCGGGGGTTCAGCGGGGGACTGTGTCAGCGGCCTAACCCGGAGGCTCCTGGCTGCCGGGACGCAGAAGCAAACCCCCGCCTACTCATTGGCCAGCGGTTTATAGTACGGTGCGGCGCATATAATTACAAAATTGATTTTTCTTCATAAATCTGAGCATGCGGCTCTTAATCAGGTGCGGTCTGTAGCCCGGAATTTACGGTATATAGCCCCCCCACAGAATTTATATTGTGATTTCATCATGTGTGAATACACAACAAAGGAATAAATAACTACCACTTATATCTTGTTGTGTTATTTTGACTTCAAGATGGCGCCGCGAGAGTGGCTGCCATCTGCTCTTTTGTTCTTCTACTTCTTCCTCTCATAACTTTGCTGCTGTGAAGTGGGAATTTCTCCATTGTGAGACTATTAAAGGTTTTCCTATTTTATCTTCTCTGATCGTACCCTTGGAGCTTCGATAAAGGAAATGCCAATGTGTTTTTCGGAGGCGGTCTTGAACGCCTCTCGAGTTGACCGGAAGAAAAGAAGGGAAGGAGACGGACAAAGATGCACCTGTATTTGTTGAAAAATTGAGAGCTGTGGTTGTGGTTTTATTTTTTTAAAACACAGACTTTTTTAATGGTTTCTACAGTCTGAACAAAACTATTAAAGGTTTTCCTATTTTATCTTCTCTGATCGTACCCTTGGAGCTTCGATAAAGGAAATGCCAATGTGTTTTTCGGAGGCGGTCTTGAACGCCTCTCGAGTTGACCGGAAGAAAAGAAGGGAAGGAGACGGACAAAGATGCACCTGTATTTGTTGAAAAATTGAGAGCTGTGGTTGTGGTTTTATTTTTTTAAAACACAGACTTTTTTAATGGTTTCTACAGTCTGAACAAATACAGGTATTGTACGTATTTGTCAGTCTCCGTTCCTTCTCCTGCATTCCACTCGAGAGGCGTTTATGGCCGCCTCCGAAAAAGGGAAATTAATTCTTACTTCAATGAAACCACAAAGAAATCAAGCGAGGAACTCACAAAATAAATTCTGTAGGGGGGATATAGAATTTATTTTGTGATTTACTCGCTTGATTTTCTGTTTTGATGGATTATTTTCAATTTTCGTCGTTTCATTTAAGGCCAGTAATAGTTAATTTACATTTTTCAGAGGCGGTCATGAGCGCCTCTCAAGTTGAATGGAAGGAGCGTAGCACCATCTAGTGGACACATTGTAGATTGCACCTTTTAGTCCAGAGCGTCTATATATGAAAAAAATGTACAAAATAGCCATTCATTGAAGGTGCGCCTCATAATCCAGTGCGTCTTTTCGTGCGGAAAATACGGTATATATATATATAAATATAA